AAGAACAATAACAGTTCAAGTGTGTTGCATACTTTAATTATTTATCAAGAAGAGTTACCTTACATCATGTGTATAAGACTAATACACAATTCCTATTTGTTTGAATATAAATTGCTGCTTAAGTTAAAACCAATGTCTTTATGACATTTGTTATGAAGATCATCTGAATTGCCTTCAGTTTGAAAAGGCCAGTGTTCCTTGGTTTTTTACAAAATGCATATTTAAAATTAATATGCTTACAAAATAACCTCAAGTGAAGTCATCAGAATAAACAAACCGATAAGTGTAATATGACCCATATATCAACTTATCGTATAAAGATAGACAATATTTGTGAAATTTAAAAGATAGAAAGTAAAAAATAAAAACCGTTTACTTTTCATTAAATATAATTTTGAATTTCTTTCAATTATTTGACAGAGATATACGTTATTCAAATTTGTATTTGTATTCGACGAGGTTCAAGCTAAACATACTAACTTTGACACATTCCCCATTTCAATTCTCAATTTTAACTTCCGCAATTCTAAAGCATTATGTTTTCTCTGTGTACGTCATATAATTTCAGTATGTGAATATTTTTGCAATGCACTTTAATGCAAACAATAATCCGGAACACATAAATCTTTGGCCAGCTAGTAGATCGACCATGTACAATAAGCAATAATTGAAGTTATATAAAGAAAAATAAATTAACAGTTGACATTTTTATACATTTGAGATACAGAAAAAAGGGGATAACAACTGTTTTATTCCTGACTTGGTACAGGCATTTTGCGACGAAAATGGTCGGCATACATACATTATTACGGTGGACTCGGATTTCTTTTAAACTGAGTTTTACTGTGCGTATTGCTGTGTGTTTGTTTATTCTTCATTGGCTAGAGGTATAGGGGAGGGTTGAGATCACATAAAGCATGTTTAATCCCGCGGCATTTTTTCGCCTGTCCCAAGTCAGGAGCCTCTGGCCTTTGTAAGTCTTGTCTGTTTTTTTTTTTTAATTTTAGTTCACTTATATGTTTTGGAGTGTGACGTCCATTGTCACTGAACTAGTACACATTTTTGTTTAGGGACCAGCTGAAACCCGCCTCACTCCGGATGCGGGATTTTCTCGCTGTGTTGAAGACCCATTGGTGGCCTTGAGCTGTTTTCTGTTCCTTGGTCGGGTTGTTGTTCCTTTGACACATTGCCCATGTCCATTCTCAAATTTATAACAAGACATAAGTAAAACATATGACGTTTAAATTTATTATATTATGCGACTTACAATGAATAATGGTATACAAGTCTTCGATGTCAATATACAGTAAATGATACTTTCTTAGGATTACATTGGAGAACATTAGATATACAATCATATTTTTGATTAATTCCATTAATTCCCCCCCACTGTCGACAAATGCCTCGTGTTCATATTTAGAAAGATATAAACATTCTTCTATTTCCAAACGTCTGTTCATAAATTTAAATGCATTCACTGATAACAACAGTCAGTGTAAGTGTGTGATATTTTCATAGTTTATCTAATACCATCAAGGAGAATACAATAATTTAAAATTGAGCTATCAAAATTCGAAACACCACTAATAACATAGGTTTTATTCATAAACTATTATAAACTATTCTTACTCCAAAAAATAATACCACCAGATTGAACATTCTCTTCAAAATTGATTTTTTTTATATCAGTGCACTCAAACAAATTAAAATTCTTTAGTTTCTACATCTTTACAACTGGCATATTCATTAGTGTTCGTAAATTCATATTTATGAAGCAGATAATTATGAAATGATATTCAATGTAAGATTGTAAACTTATAGTTTACTAGCTTTAGTACATTAAAAATCAAAGAAGTAGATATATTCCCCAATTTCCATCAAAAATGTCTTCTTGCGATTGTTGAATAATGGTCAAAAATACTTGTTTGTTAGCGTCTTAAACGGCATTACTGAGATGGTCCCTTCCACAGTTGGAGTAAAAAAAGGCTGTATTTTAATCCCTACCTTATTTTCTTTTTATATAAATGACTTAACCTCCATTTTTGATAACTCATGTGATACTGTAACATTACATGATATAAAATTATTGCAATTTCGAAAATGTTGCATACGAATAATATATTCAAAGTTGAGTTTTTCATTCGTGTGACACCTATCCCTCTGGATCTTTAGTAGCAATAAGAAAATACTCGTTACAATTTCTGACTTTGTTGCTATGCGTTTAATATTATCGAGACTCTTTGGTAGAAAGAAGGGGGCAAATGAAACATTTTAATATTATTCTTATTATATTTGAAAAGAAATATCTTACATAAATTATTATACTAAAATGTGTTGTTTTACGACTTGTATGCCTCCATCATGATTGGCATTTCAAACATGTTTTACGAGGCCATGATTCCGGACTGTGGTTATTTAAACAAATCTACAATGCAAATATTAAACTTAATTTTAAATAAAAATTGGTATCATTGGTTTTAGGTTGAAAAGGTTAAAAAGTAGACCGTAAACTAATGATCAGAACAACAGTTTGCTTTTAAATTTAAAAGTCTAGATTTTAGGGGGATGCGCGTATGAAACAGTGGATGGCATTAACACCGTTTTGGTCGAAAATATGTAATTATTTATATTCGGTTTTAGCAATTTTTATTTGTAAATACGTACATACCATGTATCAGGATTAAGTGAAATACTTCAATCAATGAGATTTTCATATTTACTTCAGCAGGAAGTATATTTTCACAAATCACTTAGATTTTAATCGACGATGTGTACCGGGTTAACCAGTTCAATAAAAGATCCTGTTGAAATAAAATCTTTAAATATCACATTTTCGAGACACAACGAACGACATTATTAAACGTTATTGTTCGCCAAGTAAATGAGTGGGGATAATGTTGTGTTCATCTTATTAACCGCTAACTACTGGTGATTAAACTCTTTGACCAAGACAAAGCTGTAGCCTGAGTTCAAGTTATAGAACACTGTATAGTGTATGATATATCTCCGTAAACAACAGTTCCATCTAAGGAATTCACTTTTAAAGATATCTGACCTACAAAATAAATAAAACATGTAATTTGATTATATAACTTTATAAATTTTATGTTTCCAAATCGTTTTTCTTGATTTAATTTCATTAAGTGTGCAAACCCAAAAATTTGAAAGAACACAGGATGTATACGTACCATTGCAATAGTAAAGCTATATAACCCAACTTCATATTTGTTTACAATTCTTTTCGTACATGTATATATTTAATGTTAATGTTAATGTTAATGTGATTATGATTTTTTTATTTCAAATATTATTTGCACTGGGTCTTGGGAGAATATAAAAAAAGAAAATGCTGAAACAAAGCCAATCTGGAATAAAGGCAATATATACGTATATGAGGAGCGGAAACTTCAGCGTTGAACAACGTGTTCTCTTAATTACAACCGGGATAACAATCAGAGGCCCCAGATAGAAGTGATTGTCCATCTACATATGTGAAACATGACTGATCACCTCGAAATAAAACGCATAATGAACTATGATTCGACAACACGATGTGAGACGATTTGAAAAAAGCATGCAAAGGCCATTCGCCCCTTACTAACATTCTTTTGAAAAATTTCTGTCAATTCATAGTGAATACCCGCATTTGCTTTTTTATGACTGTGATTTATTCTAAATCAAGACAGCACCTTTGTTTGTTTTAGCTTTTCAGACATTTGCATTTTGCAAAAACAATTATATCTGATTGTTCTTTCAGTTTAGTCCCATAAAACTTCACAAGATGTCATTGTGTCTGTCATAGATCAGGAACCTCATCAGTAGTTGTCTTTGGTGACATCCTGGCGTTTTCTTCCTTTTAGGGTCTTGTTTGCTATGCTTTATATTCAATTCTGTCAGGTAATCTCACCAACCAATAGCCTATATATTTATGATTATCTGTGTAGTTTTTAAGTTGTTGTTTCATTTAACTTTTTTCTACGTCTCCTTTTATTCATACATTAATAGTTCAACTATATATGCATAATAAGTGCGGTTATCTCGATTGAAGTGACTTTCAAAAAAAGCAAATAAAATAACACAAATAACAGCATTATAAAGATTTGCCCTTTCTTAAAAATATCCATGAAAAGCAGTTATTTAATACATAGACACATTTAATCTTAGGTCAACATGGTTTAAATAAATTTGTATTACACAAACACTAATGAACTTTCTACTATTAATGTTAATTAGTCTTTTAGTTTTCTATGTAGTGGTTTGTGAAATGTTGTTTTATTTTCGTCGGTTTTCGTCGTTTCGTCTTTCGTCTAATAAGTTTTGAATGTCCCCTTGGTATCTTAAAATTCCTCATTTTTTAACTAACCTACATGAGATAACAAAACAAAACTACAAGGAAGAACAAAACTAAACTACAAGAGATAGCAAAACAACACTCATGTTTTACAGTCATCGAATAGTGTTAACTTCCCACTTATACCATACACAATATATCTTTAGACCATACACTAGTACATCATTCACCTTTACGCCATTGCAACATTGCCCTTTACCCATTTCGATTTGAATCCACAATCTTATGTACTTGAGGGATTTAAAAAGTGTCAATGCATGTTTTAAGGAACAAACTGAAAAACAAAACAATGAATTTTTTGTATGCACCACACTATTTCTCATACACTAAAAATCGTACACAATTACACCATACCCATTACATTTAAGAAAGTTTATATATTTCAAGTAAGTAAAATAAAAAAAAACATGGAGCACTGTGATTTATGGATGATTAATAGTGTAACTTAAATGTTGTAAAAGCAGACAAAACTAAAATATGGTGTTGATAATATATGTATATATAGCAATATTGTTAGTATAAAGGCTAATTAATATAAGTAAACGTTCGCAATATTAGTATAAGCATAATGGTTATTCAGGAGGTGGTACAAATTACCTTCAATTGAATTGCGAAGCTTCATAACATGTGTACAAACATGAGTGCTTACCTCCGTTTTGTGTTCGAACCTTCGATATAACTAAAATATTCGAGTATTTAGAATTATATTCATATTCTTTAAAAACTATTAACCATGTAAATATGGTCTTGACACTGTACAAAACTTTTAAAGTTTCAATAGAAACTAAACGCATTCTTTGTTTATATTTTTAGATATACCTTACACAATAATGAAACATAAATTATTCATAAAAAAGTTCAACATAAAACAAAACATGTTTTTTTTCACGCTATAGGATATACAACGAAGAATTAATATATTTGTTTTTAAAGAAGGTAAAACTGATTTTAGGTTTTTTGTTTCACTCACAAGGTCGTTATCTGAAAAATGTACTTAAATTTGAATTCTAAAGAATCTATATGTTAAGACTAATATCGACGTCCGTTCCCAAATTGACAGCCATTCCTAAAATAGGAGTTTAATATGACGTCATAATAAAAGAATATTTGACGGCCGATTCTTGGCCTCCTCGACGTCCTGTTTTGTTTCAAAATCAGTGTACAATTCTTGGCCAATCTCTCTAATCGTCCCCTTCCTAGGCTACATTCACATAGTTGTGATATGAATTTATTATGGTGGTCATCATTAATTATTTTCCATTTCAACCTTATTGTTTCTACAAACGTTTTAATGATACATAGTGTTTAAAAGTTCGTAGTTGTCATAAATATTAGGTCCTTTGTCGGTAAGAGAAGAAACCTAATGGAATATGTTAGTAAACTTCATCAGTCGCATTTAATTCAATGACTACTCCTGCAAATGTACTTTTTAAGATATGTGCAAAGTCAATTATTGAATATCAAACAGCTTTGTTTAAGTCGCTATTGTCGGCTGTATTGATGATGCTGTAGGGTATAACACAAAAACATTTGAACATTTAAATTTCGAAAGCAGGAAAATTGTTCCAATATCCTTCAGTCTTCACAGTACGACCTCAAACCAACCAAAGAGTGATCGGTATACATACATGTAGATAAACATATAATTTAAAAGCAATATAGAAATAAAATGCAAATAAAAGAATCACGTCCCGACCGGTGTGATTTTTTTTGAAATTCGAAATAATTACTTCTCTTTGTGCTATGTGTTATATTTGAGCCATAGAATTCAGCATAAAGCTTAATGCTAAATTGAACAATATTTATAATAACCAACCTTTAAGGACAAGAAAAATATATTTCGATATATTTGCACCTCAAATATGAAGCTCTTTCTGGGGATAATTGAATAAAACAACATTGACAAAATGCGTGATTGTCATTTAGAACAATAACAGGTTAAAAGTAAAAAAAATACCCAACTCCAAGGAAAATTCAAAACGCACAGTCCCTTATCAAATGGCAAAATCAAATGCTCAAACACAGCAAACGAATGGAAAACATCTGTCATATTCTTGACTTGGTACAGGCAAATCCTTATGTAGAAAATGGTTGATTAAACCTGGTTGTATAGCTAGCTAAACCTCTCACTTGTATGACAGTCGCATAAATTCTATTATATTGACAGCAATGTTTGAACAAAACAAACAGACATACTAGATAAATATTGTTGTGTACACTTTAATTGTTTATCAAGACGAGTTACTTTATATTATGTTTATATGACTAATATACAGTTCCTATGACTATCCTTTTTATTCAAATCTAAATTGCTGCTTCACTTTAAACCAATGTCTTTATAACAATTGTTATGAAGATCATCTGAATTAGCTTCATTTTGTATTAGGCCAGTGTTCCTTAGTTATGTACAACATGCATATTTTTAATTAATATGCTTACAAAATAATCTCAGGTGAAGTCATCAAAATAAAAAAACCGATATGTGTAATGAGCCATTTGTTAACTGATCGTATAAAGCAAGACAGTATTTGTGAAATTTAACAGATAGAAAGTAATAAATAAAATTCATTAATTTTTATTAAATATTATTTTGAATTTCTTTCAATTATTTGACAGAGATATGCGTTATTTCAATTTGCATTTGTATTCTACGAGGTTCAAGGTGAAACTACTATTTTCCGCGATTCTGAAGCATTATGTTTTCTCTGTGTACGTCAAATAATTTCAGTATGTGAACATTTTTGTATTGTTATCCTACACTTCAATGCAAACAATAATCCGACACACATATATCTTTGGCAAGCTAGTATATTGACCATGTACATTTAGCAATAATTGAAGTTATATATAGAAAAATAAATTAACAGTTGACATTCATATATATTTTGAGAATCCGAAAAGAGTGTAAAGCAACTGTCATATTCTTGAATTGGTACAGGCATTTTCCGAAGAAAGTTGTGGGCATACATACATTTTTTACAAGACATAAGTAGAATATAAGTGACGTTTTAATTTATTATGCGACTTGCAACAAACAATGATATGCAATTCTTCGATGCCAATATACAGTAAATGATCCTTTAAACTTTAGAGAACATTAAATATGCAATCATATTTTCAATTAATTCCATAAATTCCCCCCAACTGTCGACAAAAGACTCGTGTTTATATTTAGAAAGATATAAATATTCTCTATTTTCAAACGTCTGTTCATAAATTTAAATGCATAATCTGATAACAACAGTTAGTGTAAGTGTGTGATGTTTTCATAGTTTATGTAATACCTTTCAATAATTTGAAAACAAGCTATCAAAATTCGAAACACCACTAATAACATAAGTTTTAATCAAAACTATTCTTACTCCAAGAAAGAATACTTTGAAATTGTTTTTTTTTCCGTGAACTCAAACAACTAATATTCTACATTGTTTACATATCTACAACTGGTATATTCATTATTGTCCGTAAATTATTATTTATGAAGCAGATTAACGAAAAAGTAAAATAACAAAACTATCGAACTTCAAGGAAAATTAAAAGCTCAAACACATCAAACGAACGAAAAAAAAACCTATCATATTCACCGACTTGGTACAGGCATTTCTTAAAATAGATAATGGTGGATTAAAACTGGTTTTATAGCTAGCTAAACCTCGTACTTGTATGAAAAACTATTATGTGTTAGATTGTTAACTTATAGTTGAATATCTTTAGTACATTTAAAAGTAAAGGAATGAATATTTTCCCATTTTCCATTAATAATGTCTTCTTGCGATTGTTGAACAATTGGCGAATTGAATAATCGGATTTCAGAAATGTTGAATACAATTATGTAATCAATGTTTAAAATGTGACTTTTTGATTCGTGTGGCATCTATTCAGTCGCATTTTAGCAATAATAAAATTTTCGTTACAATTTCTGAATAGAAAATAGCTGATTTTATTCTGTGTTGCTATACGATTAATATTATCGAGAACCTTGGGTAGAAAGAAGGGGGATGTGAGACATTTTATTATATTTGAAAAGAAATGTCTTACATAAATTATTATACTACAATTTGTTTTTTTACGACTTGTATGCCTCCATCATGATTGGCATTTCGAACATGTTTTACGAGGCCATGATTCAGGACTATGGTTATTTAAAACAAATCTACAATGCAAATATTAAATTTAGTTTTAAATAAAAATTGGTATCATTGGTTTTAGGTTGAAAAGGTTAAATTGTAGATCGTAAACTAATGATCAGAACAACAGTTTGCTTTTAAATTTAAAAGTCTAGATTTTACGGGGGATGCGCGTATGAAACAGTGGATGGCATTAACACTGTTTTGGTCGAAAAAATGTAATTATTTATATTCGGTTTTAGTAATTTTTCCTTGTAAATAAGTACATACCATGTATCAGGATCAAGTGAAATACTTCCATCAAAAATGAGATTTCCATATTTACTTCATAAGGAAGTTTATTTCACAAATCACTTAAATTTTAATCGACGATGCGTATCGGGTTAACCAATTAAATGAAAGATCCTGTGTGAATAAGAACTTTAAATACCACTATTTCGAGACACAACAACATTATTGAGCGTAATTATACTCCAAGTAAATGGGATGAGACAATATTGCATTCATCTTATTAGGAATGTTCACTACTCTGTTTCAAAATAGCAAGATTTTTAAAAGACTGTTATGAATTGATGCTATATGAATATCTGAACTTTAAAAGCAAACAAGAAAAGGTCTGTGTCCTTGTTTTTAAGATATAATCAATTGCAGATTTGGTGGGAAATGATTCTCTCTAGATTTTTTTGATAAATTCAACATTTGCACCTTTTTTCCTTCAAAATAATGCAAAACTAACAAGGATTTCAAATTTTTCAAAAATGACTTTTTAAACTATATGTAATAGAAGTATTAAAAGAAAAGTAGGTGTAAGCGGGTAAAATTTGTATCGTCACAACGTGGAAAAAACTTGAGGATTCCGTAATCGTCCTTTCGTTCGTCTGTTAAATATTTCCGTCGCACTCAAGTGCAACGAACAGTATGGCTTCATCTTTTGTTAGCAGTTTGACAGGGATAAGGGGTAACATGTACGTGGAACACTTTTCGGATCAGTCATTCAACTACTTCATGACAGATTATACATAATTTATGAGCAAACAATATCTCAAAAAAGAATAAGAAATTTATATTGTCTTCTCCTTAAATACAAGTTCAATGATAACAATTTATTAGCATGCAAATATTTCAATAAATTATAACATAATTCACCCGTCTGGTTTATGTGACATATAAACAAACGAGATAGAGAGATAAAGTAAATAAAGTATCCAGCGGGTGCGGGGTTTTCTCGCTGTGTTGAAGACTCATTGGTGGCCTTGGATTGTTTTCTGCTCTTTGGTCGGGTTGTTCCTTATTTCCATTCTCTATTTTATCCTCGATGAAGATTCGATGAACGGCGATTATCTCTATATACACTAAGTCAAAATGTCCAAGTTGGGAAAAGAAAAAAGTGGGAAAATTACTGTTTGTCGACTATATTGGTACCTGAAGATATAAAACTGAAATAAACATGTCAGCAGTTCAGTTAAGACATTGATACATCGTACTGGTCAACCAAATTCGTGATGGTGATCGTTTATTTTATGCAGGGACAATATCAGTCGTTCTTCCTCTTAACTCTGTTGGATAAGTTTTTTTGTTAGGAGTACATCCCGGTTCATGAAGTCGGTATAGTGTGAACATGCAAGAGCGTAAAGTATTAACTGAGATGTATAAACGTCATACAATGCAATTGAGCGCTGGGTATGTTACTGCTGATAAATGGAAAGTTGAATTCATCACGTTTTCATAAATTCTAGTTCGAGTCGTCCATCTCTGTCAAGTGCATTCGACTCCAATTTTAATGCACTTGGATTCTCCGGTTAATCCAGCATCCTGCAAAAAACAAAAAGAAATGACCGCCGGGAAAAAGCTTTTAGTGCTGAAAGTGGCATTATATACCAATCAATCAATCAATTAATCAATCGTCTTTCAACAAAAAAATTATTCTCAAATTCACTGAGATATATGAGCTGTAAGACCTCATTGAAATTTAGGTAATTGAGTTACATGAAATCTTGTCTTTTTGTATTTGGAATGTTCTGTACTAATTCGGCTTTTAATCAGAACAAAAACAAGTCGGTCAGTAGGATGCACAAGAGGTACTATTGAGATACCAACTGTCTGCTGGGATATCACTCAAAAATATTTCTTACTCCATGTCAACAACTCTAACTGCACTACAAACCAGTAAAAGTATGAAATGGCCTATATCTGTACTCGACCAGTCTGAATTGGTCTGAAATTTACTAGATATTACTCGATTATAGTTAACCATACTTAACATTCTGAACGTGTTCTCGACCTTTACTCGACCAGTACTTAACTATTTTATAAGTGTCTGAACCATTCTCGACCAAGTCTGAACCATGCATGACCTAGTCTGAACCTTACTCGGCCAAGTCTTAACCAACCTAGACCTATTTTTTGTTTTATTTATCTATTATATTTCATCAATTTAGGAACTGTTTTTAACAACAAACATTTCCCTTGGCTAGAAATTTGAACAACAATTTGAAATAAAAAATGTATTTAATATACATGATATAGCATTGAAACCAAAATTTAACAATAAACATAATATAATTATCAACACCTTAATTCGTCAACACCAGAACTTTCGACCATTATTCAAATATCTTAAAGGATATTCAAAAATGTTTTGAATGTTTCAGATATATTTTATGGTTACTGGAAAATTATCAACACTAACTTAAGCCTGGTATAGATTTGTGGTGTCAGTCATGTTTAGTTAATAACGCAGTGAACTTTTTTTATTTTATATAAAGCAACTTAATAAATTATAAAAATGACACCTTTGTTTTGTTACAAACCAAGTCCTAAATATAATAGAACTTCCATAGCAATTAATCCTTGATAAAACCTTTTAAAAAAGAATTATGTTCCAAAGTTACAGTAAAATTCAGGTTGATTAATTAGGTTTTGTCAAAATTAAAGACATGGCATACAAGAGGCACTTTAATAAGGTTTAATGACCTAAGTTTTGTTTTAAAAAAAAACACATGCAAAACAAGAAGCACCTTAATTAGGTTTTCATGTAAAAGAAAATCTGTGTGTTTTTTAAACATTAGACTCTGACTTTTGAATTAGATAATTTTACTATCTCGATTTGATAAATTTGATAATCATGTTAGGATGTAAAAAATCTGTTTTAATATATCTTTACTTCATTTTAGCTGTTGTCATGTCAGTTAAAAAGAAAGTTATTTAAACAGTTAAAATTTAAAAAAAAAGGAGAGGTTATTTAGTCAAGTATGGTTTAGACTGGTCGAGTATTGTACAGACCTTTGGTCGAGTATGGTTCATACTGGTCGAGTATTGTTCAGACCTCTGGTCGAGTATGGTTCAGACTGAAAAAAATAGGTCGAAAACTGGTCAAGTATTGGTCGAGTACAGGTCGGGAATGGGTTAAGAATGTTTCAGACTGGTCGAGACTTTTACTGGTTTGTTGTGCTGCCATCTCCTAAAAGCAGCGTGAATATGTTTGATTACATTTTCCATAAAAATCATATTAAAGGTTGATGATATTGCGCATGATACAGAAAATGAAAATCAAACATTAGAAACATTACTTCTATTTGATTCGATAATTGCGCATACATATTATAAATTAAAAAGACATAATGAATTTCCTCCCTTAGAACGTCGCTTTAATCTCTAAATTTTAAGCACACGGTTTAAATGATCGTTCAGGGCGAAATATTCCCCATTTCAAAGCTCCAACATACATTTTATACGAATTAAAGAAAATGTTGATATTATGTGAATGTTGTCCTTAAATATTATTTATGTTCAATTATGTTCATTTGTTTAAGGCTACACACTGTTGGAGGCAAAAAGAGAGAAAATGTAAAGTGAGTTATTTTAAAGGATACGTTTACATATTTATTACTTACGTCTTTTATGTAACTGTTTGAGATGTTGACTTGTAATTTTAAAGATAAATATGAATATACATATTAACTTTATTGATGCAGAGAGTGGCAGAAGATCCAGACACGTTTCTTATTTTGGAAATCGCATTTTCACCCTAAGATGTGTTTCTTGTGTATTGTTGTTTGGTTAAACATCAATGATTTAACTTTAAACTTAAGTTAATGGAATTGAAGTAAATAGACTTTAATTCAGTTATCGCTGGGGCCACTGACGCATTGTGTTTCATGTTTTAGATTTACCTAACATGAGTGACGTTATATTCTGTGACGTAATTTAGTCCTTTACAGAATTTCATCGCAGCAAGCAAGCTGTTTAAATTTCGTTGCGGTAAAATTGAAAAAATTGAAAAGTAGAATCTTGTAATGGTAAAGTAGTGTAAGTATTGCATGGTTATAACCTGCCTCATGCTTCTAATGTTTATTCGAAGTAATCTTAGAAAGAATTCATTTTATCGATCGTCATTTTTTAACCATTCCATCAGGAATGTCATTGCCACGTGGAGAGCACATGCAAAGACTGAAAGAGATTGGTCCCATTATTCGTTTTCATTTTAAAAAAAATATTTAATTTTTACAAATATGAGTAATTAGATGCAATATTGTCCTAAGATTTGCAGATTATAATAATGATTTCGTCATTGTATTCTACATCAAATTAGATGCATGTATAGTCTGCCTGATACCGATAGGTACTCATATATATATATGACGACGAGTTTAATTTTTTTTTTTATTTTTTAATATTACTTTTTGTCCATATCTTATTACTATTGAAATTGAGTATTGACAGATCGTCTAGTGCCTATGGTTTAGCTTAACAAATTGTATTTGCGCTGTAACACTAACAGACCATCCAGGTTAGTAACGTGTCTATAGTGTTTATGTGTTATGGGGCAGGCGTTATCTGATGAACTCCCGAATTATAATTAAATTTTCCTTAAAAGGGTATACATTGGGAATTTGTACCTAGATCTTTCATAGCACATATTGATATACAGCAAATATTCCATGAAAGGATATGAACGTACAAAGGTGCAAAGAGACGTATCCTTTGGGGCGAAAGGACCCAGGTTCGTAACCGGAAGTTCAACTTTCGATACAAATAAACAAAAATCTTGGAAATCTTGCACAGGGACCCTGCACGGAGTTACAAGCAGTAGCCAAAAATCGTCATGTCTAAATGTTAGATTGCTTGTGGAGATTAGCATACATATATCATTATATGTATATATCCTGCTATAAATTTTGCGTGTACCTACACACTTGTTACTGAAAACTGTCAGTGTCGAGTCTGTCAACATCAGTCATCACAGTGACATGTATAGTTGCTACTACTCTCTAGCCTAGACTAGGTCGATATGGTATGAGTAGTTCAGATAAATCACAAATTTAGACATAATGTCATCAACCGGCCACAGCTTGAATTATTGTAATAACATAATTATA